GTTATGATTTGGGGTCTGGGCAAATTCTGTTTTCTCCAGCTATGGGGAAACTTTTGGGAGGCTCCAGCCTCAGGATATTTGGGGGTGGGGGTGATTTAAAAAGTCAGCGACAGTCCCCTTAGCAGGAAAAGGCCCACAAACATGCCTTGGCTCTGGGAAAGGGGGGGGCTTCGCGTCCAACTCTGGGGGAGGGGAGAGGGTCTTGTCTGTGATCATTCAGCCCCGAAATGATGCTCATGATGTTGGCTTTCCAGGCCATTAATTCAAGGGCTCCCTGCCCCCATTCCCCTGCTCCGCTGCCTGCTCTGGGAGATAAGCCCAGTTCTATTTAACCCTATTTATTCTCTCAAAGTGGCCTCCATTTCTGTTAGCCAGGCATTTAACCCCCAGGATACCAAAGGCTTCAAAAGGCTGACCAATTGAGCTCCAGCAGCAGGATTACTTCAGGACCCTGGCTTCCTGGAGTGACCCCAAATCCTGATCCAGGGATCCCTAAGACCACAGAACCCTGTGTGGCTCTGGGAGCACAGTGGCCATTCCCTCCAACCCTAGTTCCTAGGTCACACGCTCTGGGTCCTGGCTCTGGCCAACAGGAAAGCTGTGCTTTCCCTGCCTCTTTTGTGTCCTGAGGGCTGCTGGCTCTGCCTGGCAAGGCCTGCACCATCTTGTTCCTTTCCACATCTCTCTGTCCCTTTCTTCCCTTTGTCCTCTTTTCCCCTTCGGTGATCATGAGGGTTATTCCTGACTGTTGGTCTCAGGGTGAACTTGTGTGTGTGTGTGTGTGTGTGTGTGTGTCTTTACTAGTGCCTCAGCCTGTTACCCGGCTGATGCTAAACCAGCACTAGATCCTTGGGGGTCTGATTTTTCTGTGTGGCAACCAGTCTTAGCACACATCTTGTTTGTATCTGTGTGCCAATCTGGCCTTGACCTGGGTGTGTTGCTCTTCCCACCTGTGTCTATAATTCTACCAATGAACTTGAATCTGTATGCTGATTCCAGTGTCTGTGCACCAGTCTATGGCTTGTCATTCTCTATGTGCGAGTGAATGGCTGTGCTGGATTTTAACCCAGAGCATTGCACAGCTGAAAGCCCTCTGGGATGGTGTCCCAAGAGGAGCTAGCTAGAAGAATTTTGAAAAAAAAAATTTATTTATTTAAAAGAGGAACACACATGCTCAGAAAGGACAGGGTGGGAGAGAGAGAGAGAGAGGGTGGGGGAGAGAGAGAGAGAGAAATGCTCGGGATCTTCCAGCTGCTGCTGTATTTCCCAAATGACTGCAACATGCAGACCAAACCTAGGAACTCCATGTTGGGCTCCCCTGCTGCCCTCTGCCTTACATTTGACCTTCATATCTTTTTCTCTAGGTCAGCTCAAAACTGGAAGAGGTCAGGAAAGCAGGGCTAGGGACAAAGAGAGGAGAGTGATATGCTGTAACTTAGACTCCCAGCCTAATCACAGGCTTTTGTTGTACACCCACTTTTCTCCCATGAGATCAGAAATGGCCATTGGGTATGTTGTGACAAGACCAGCAAGAAAAAAACAGAATGGTTATTACCAAGTATGGGGCTGTTCCCACATACTAAATATTTTGCATGCAAGATCTCACTGCAGGCCTGACGCAGTAGCCTAGAAGCTAGAGCCCTCACCTTGCATGCATCGGGACCCTATATGGGTGACAGCTCGTGTCCCGGTACCCCACTTCCCATCCAGCTCCCTGCTTGTGGCCTGGGAAAGCAGTCAAGGATGGCCCAAAGCCTTGGGATCCTGTGCCCATGTGCGAGACCAGGAAGAGACCCTTGCTCCTGGCTTCGGATCGGCTCAGCTCTGGCTTTATGGCCACTTGGGGAGTGAATCAATGCATGGGTGATCTTTTCTGTTTCTCCTTCTCCCTCTATATCTCATTTTACAATAGAAATTTTTTTAAAAATAATAAATTTTAAAATCTCACTGCATGCTTTCAATAACTCTAGGAGGCTGTCAATGTTGGTTTCCCACATTAGCAATGATGGAAAGGAGGCTATGAGAATTTAAGGGCTAGGGCTAAGTAGTTGGGTATTGCAGAGCTAACACACGATAGAGTAGGATTTTTCAACAAGGGGCCAGCTGTGTTGGGAGCTGCCATAGGCTCCCATAGACTGGGACAAGGTAGTTATTGCCAACAGCAGAGGAGGCAAAGGAGTTCTTCCCCTCAATTGCTGGCCCTCCTTGGAACCAAAGAGGCTTAAATCATTTCAAATTTCATCTCTGGGCCTAGTGCAATGACTCAGTTGACTCATCTTCCCCCTGCCAGCACCATGATCCACTTCCTATCCAGCTCCCTGCTTGTGGCCTGAGAAAGCAATAGAGTATAGCCCAAAGCCTAGGGACCCTTCACCCACATGGGAGACCCAGAGGAGGCTCCTGGCTTTGGATTAGCTCATCCCTCGCATTGCAGCCACTTGGGGAGTGAACCAGCAGATGGAAGCTCTTTTGCTCTCTGTTTCTCCTTCTTCCAGTAAATCTGTCTTTCAAAAAAAAAAAAAAAAGGAATAAATGTTTAAAAAAATTTTTTCACCTCATAGGGCAGTGAGATGGGCAAATATCAGACAACCACTGGGGAGAGGGGACAGAAGGATGGGGTGATCTTGTGAGGAAAGCAGAGCAGATGGAAGGAGCGTCAGGCCTCTGGGATTCTGATCCAACTTGAGCCTGAGCTGTCTGTGACCTTGAGCGGGACACTTGGCTCAAGTGGGGATGACCATGGGCTTTTCTGTAATATTGTGAGCCTGAAAGGGAAGATAATTGGATTGAGACGTCTATGGCCCCCCCAAAAAATCCAGGTGGAGCCCACACCCATGTCCAGTACAGGTAAGAGAGGGCAAGGGCTCTGGACTCCCGTGACAAAGAAGGCAATAAATCAGGGTGAGTGGCATGCAGGGTGGCATCAGGGAACCCTTCAAACACACACATTTTCTGTTCAAAGCATCTCATGTGAAACAAAAGGAACAGGCCAGGAACAGAAGGAGAGGAGGGCTAGGAGGTGAGATCTTTGTCCATAGGAATCTGGATGGGGAAAAGCTCTCTTTTCTTCTTGGGCATCTGGGGAGTGGGGGGAGGAGAGTCCCTGCAAAGGGCAAGCTTCAGGACCGATGGGGTCAGTTGTAGAGCAGAGCCTCCTAGGAGGAGAAGCTCCCTTTGTTCCGCAGCCTGCAGTTGCTAGTTCGGAGGGAGGGCTCCTGTGTAGCCCAAGGGAAGGATTTCCGTCCTATTTCTTTGGGACAGGACGCCAGGGCTTTCCAGAGCTGCTGCAAGCACTCAAGCCAGCACCTGCGGAAGAGCGGGGAGAAGCAGCTCAGTCCAGTATGGTGGGAACCCCGTACCTGTGGAAAAGCTTCCTCTGGGAGACTGGGAAGTCCCTGGGCTGACGGGGAGACGGGTGTAGAACGGGAAGTCAGTGGCATCCAGTTGCTCTAATTTGCTGATCAGAGCCCTCGGGCCGCCCTACTTGTGCACTGACAGGAGCTAATCCAGAAACACCAAAAGGGTGGCAAGCGGAGAACGGGATTCCCAGCGAGAAGGGCCCCTCGAGCGGTGGACGTAGCCGGCCTGTTCTTTTTTTCATTTTGCTTCAGTTACTTTGTGGCTCACCCAGGCAGCTGCTCCTCCACCTAGGCTGGGACTAAAGGTGGAACCTTGTGGTTTATTGGAAGAGGAGAGCGGGGAAGGTATGGGAGCCTAACTGGGGATCCATGCCGGGACTAAGCGACCCACACTAAGACGGTAATGAACCTCACATATGCGCAAACGCAGCCAGCAACTCCCCCTACCCCCTGCACCACAGAGCCACACACGCACACACTCCTCTCCGCGCACACAGAATCACGCAGACACGCAACACTCGCAGGTACCCGCTCTTGCAGAATCCAGCCGGTCTCGGATCTAGGCTCTCTCTTTGTCTTTGGGTCTCTTTCTCGCGCTCGCGCACACGCCAGCCATCTCATTCCACACCAACAGTCCCGGCTTTCGCGGCTCCTGCTCCGGTGTCCCGGCTGGCCCCGAGCGAAACGCGCGCCTCCGCTGCCAGGACCCTCTGCACAGCGAGCCCTTCTGTCCTCTACGCCCCGACCCGGGCTGTGTCCCTCTTGCCAGGGCATCCGCAGATCGAGGCTGAGAGGCGTTCCACCTCCTTCCAGATCCCCCAAACGAAAAGAGAAGAGCCAACCTTTCGCCTCCATTCTGCACAATTTGGAGTGCGGTTGGCAGCAAGCGATCCACAGACTGGCTTCCATCGCGGCGTCCCTTGACGGACAGAGACATCCGGGGCGACCGAACCCCGAGCTGCGCATCCTTAAGAAGCATTCAAGTCGGCTGCTTTTGCCTTCAGGGCGAACTTGAGACCAGATTTAAGGGCGAGTGGTGGATGCCCAGGAGGCAGCCCGATGCCCAGACGGCCTGCTCAGCCGAAGAAGGGCGACGCTGTCCCACCGCCTTTCGGCGCGCAAACCAGCCCTTAGTCCATGCGGTTCGGGCCGCCCAGCTCTTGGACTCTGACAGGGACGGTCCGAGGGCGGGGACCACTGGAATCAGCCCACCCGCTCCCTCCCTCCCTCCCCGCGGCGAGGTGGGAAGGGCCAGAATCCCGGCTTAGCACCTCCTCCAGAAATGCAGCACTGGGGCCCCCCAGCCCGCCTTCCATACTCCGCCCCCCCTTGGCGTGCTCCCTCCCGCCGCCTTCCCAAGGGCGCCCTTCTCCAGCCCCGGTGTCACTTCCGAAGCCTGCGGTGTCCCTCTGGCTGGCTTCTCTCGTCGCCCCCTCCTCAGGCCCCTGCCTGTGGGGGGTTTCCCCTCCTTCCCCCCCCCCCCCGCCGGTAGCCACCCCCGCACCGCCTGATTCCGCGGGGCGGGAGCGCATTGGGCTGCGAGGGGTGGGGGCACCGCGCCAGGCTCGCGTAGCTGCTCTGACGCCGCCGTCGCCGCCGCCGCCCTCCGCAGCCCAGCCCTGCGCCCCGCGGCAGCTCCGCAGTGCACTCACCGCCGCCACCGCCGCCGCTCCGCAAGTCCCCGCCATCCGCCGGCCTGGCCCGACCCTAAGTGAGCCTCGAACGCCGGCGCCGAGGGTCATGCGCCATCGCGCCCCGGGGCGTCTCGGACAGAGCAAGGGAAGGTAGCGACTTCGCGCCCCTCCACCCCCAGCCCTCGCCATCCTGCTCTCGCGAGCCCGCGTCCCCGGCCCCCTTCTGTCCTCTCCCCAAGCGCCGCCACCATGGCCACCCTGCTCCGCAGCAAGCTGTCCAATGTGGCTACCACCGTGTCCAACAAGTCCCAAGCCAAGGTGAGCGGCATGTTTGCCAGGATGGGCTTTCAGGCGGCCACGGATGAGGAGGCGGTGGGCTTCGCGCACTGCGACGACCTCGACTTCGAGCACCGCCAGGGCCTGCAGATGGACATTCTGAAGGCGGAGGGCGAGCCCTGCGGTGACGAAGGCGCCGAGCCGCCCGTCGAAGGCGACATCCACTACCAGCGCGGTGGCGGCGCGCCCCTGCCACCCTCAGGGTCCAAAGACCAGGCCGTGGGGGCTGGCGGCGAGTTCGGGGGCCACGACAAGCCCAAAATCACGGCATGGGAGGCGGGCTGGAATGTGACCAATGCCATCCAGGTGAGTAGGGGACTCCCATCTCTGCCCGCCCCTTCCCCTGCCTGTGAAGGGACTCTGTCCCCAGCGGTAGCCGGGTTGTATGGACGGGAGGAGAGAATCCCACGAGTGTCTGCGACGGGTCTGGAGTCCTTCCTGGTGCTTCTCTATCTCGCACTGGGATCTGCGCCCTTAGGCGCTTATCTCCTGCCCGCATCCTCACCCCCCAACTTCCGCTACCCTGTTGGGGGTCAGGTTGATCCGGGTCCAGAGACCCAGAAAAGCGACAGAAATGCGGGGGTGGGAGAGCAGGAGATGGAGTCTTGAAAAGGGATGAGGGAGAAAGAAAATCAGGATTGGAGGGACCAGTGTTGCCTCGCACGGGAATGGACTGGCAGCTGCGTCTTTGGAGAGGACAGGAAAGGGGGAAATCGCTGAGCCCGGAGTCTCCTCCCCCGACCCAGACGCAGAGCCCCACGCACACGTACAGAGGCAGACACGCACGCCCGCAGCCCCCTCCCCGTGGCACGAGGCTATTTATAGACCACGGGACTCTCCCCAAACGCACCTGCCTACACCCCACCTCCCCGCCCTCACAAAAACTCACGCCTGCACGCCCTCGTTTGAACACAACATTTCGCACACGCACACCGGATGATGTGTGATGCATCCGGGATCCAGCCCGCTCCCCCAGGTGCAGCCTTGATGGAGACACCCAGGCACGCCTTCGTAAGCACACGTGAGTGCGGGGACAAGCACCCACGGTCCGCAGGCTCCAGTGTGTTGCTCTCACGGAGCAGCCCTGATCGCCCGAAATCCCGGTTGCACCGCAAAGGGGCGTCCAGAACCGCAGTGGGCCACATGAAGAGGGCCCCTTGAAGGGGGCGGAACCACCTCTAACACCACTTCTGGCTCCTGCGCCCACCACCCCATTTCCCAGCAGGCGCCGCCGGACTCCGCCGGGAGCGGGTCTGGAGCCCTCACAACGACCCTCGGAGCTAGCAGCGCCGGGCAGGCTGCGGGGTCCGCGGTGGAGCAGTCTTCCGCCCTAGGGGTCCCCCGGCCGACCGCGGCTGGGTCAGGTGCCCACCCCAAGCGCATGGTCGTTGGAGCGGAACGCGTACATCTCACGGGAGCGAGGTGCAGTAGCGGAATTCCCAGGCTCAGCGATTCTCGGCGGGGGACCCTACACCCCAGGCAGCCTTGACCCCGGTATACCCCCAACTCCGGGGCTCAACCGGCAGGGACCAGGGCGATGCTGCGGCAGCCTTCGTTGTCAGCACCTCTGCAGGCAGCGTTTTTGCGGAGTGGGTTCTGTAGGCCCAGCGACAGGCCCCTGAGCCTCTGGGGACCCGGATTTCGTTATCTTTTTCTCTCCTTCTGGATTTTAAGCCATATTCCCACGGCCCTGCCTGCGGTGCCCGCAGAGTTTCTGCTTCAAGATTGCGGCTGGTCTGGCTCCTCCGACAGGCTCACAGCCCGTTGGCCTCTACCAGTGCCACCTAGAGCTTGCCAGCCCTTTTCTAGGAACCCCTGTTTTCGACAAAGCGTCACCCTACACTTCTTCCCCAGAACCCTCGGGGCGCCCACGGCTTCTGCACCAAGCCTTTCTGCCCGTTCCCCTGCTTCCCCTCTCCTTCAGCCCGGCTCTCTCCCTGCCCAACTCCCTGCCTCCCCCTCGCCCTCATCAGGGGCGCCTCCCACCCTGGCCAGGCCCTTTCCCTGGCTGGCATCCCCAGTTCCATCTCACACATGGTGGCCAGGCTTCGTGGTGGCTCAGGGGTCCCTTTTGCCGCGCCCCTTCCCCACCTCGTGCCAGCCCCTTCGCGTCACCTCTCCCAATTCCCCAGCCTCCTCAGTACCCAACTCTGCCCCCGCTCCCACCCCAACCCTGAGCACACCTGCTCAGTTCCGGCCTTACACACCTCCCTGTGCTTCGCTAACACAGGATTCCCGGTTCCCGAAGAGGCTCCTCCACTCCCCTTTCCTCCCTCCCTCTGGGTAGGTTTGGACTCCTTGTGCGCTCCTCTCAGCCCCCTGTCCGCAGGCCAGCGTCCCCTGAACGCCCGGGTCTAGTTGCCTCTCTCACTACACAGGGCATGTTCGTGCTGGGCCTTCCCTACGCCATCCTGCACGGCGGCTACTTGGGGCTGTTCCTCATCATCTTCGCTGCCGTGGTGTGCTGCTACACCGGCAAGATCCTCATCGCGTGCCTGTACGAGGAGAACGAGGACGGCGAGGTGGTGCGCGTGCGGGACTCCTACGTGGCCATTGCCAACGCCTGCTGCGCACCGCGCTTCCCCACGCTGGGCGGCCGCGTGGTAAACGTGGCGCAGATCATCGAGCTGGTGATGACGTGCATCCTGTACGTGGTGGTGAGCGGCAACCTCATGTACAACAGCTTCCCCGGGCTGCCCGTGTCGCAGAAGTCCTGGTCCATCATCGCCACGGCCGTGCTGCTACCCTGCGCCTTCCTCAAGAACCTCAAGGCCGTGTCCAAGTTCAGCCTGCTGTGCACGCTGGCACACTTCGTCATCAACATCCTCGTCATAGCCTACTGTCTGTCGCGGGCGCGTGACTGGGCCTGGGAGAAGGTCAAGTTCTATATTGACGTGAAGAAATTCCCCATCTCTATCGGCATCATCGTGTTCAGCTACACCTCGCAGATCTTCCTGCCTTCGCTCGAGGGCAACATGCAACAGCCCAGCGAGTTCCACTGCATGATGAACTGGACACACATCGCCGCCTGCGTGCTCAAGGGGCTCTTCGCGCTCGTCGCCTACCTCACCTGGGCCGACGAGACCAAAGAAGTCATCACCGACAACCTGCCAGGCTCCATCCGCGCCGTAGTCAACATCTTCCTGGTGGCCAAGGCGCTCCTGTCCTACCCGCTGCCTTTCTTCGCCGCCGTCGAGGTGTTGGAGAAGTCGCTCTTCCAGGAAGGCAGCCGCGCCTTCTTCCCCGCCTGCTACGGCGGCGACGGCCGCCTCAAGTCCTGGGGGCTGACGCTGCGCTGCGCGCTCGTGGTCTTCACGCTCCTCATGGCCATCTACGTGCCGCACTTCGCGCTGCTCATGGGCCTCACCGGCAGCCTCACGGGCGCCGGCCTCTGCTTCCTGCTGCCCAGCCTGTTCCACCTGCGCCTACTGTGGCGCAAGCTGCTCTGGCATCAGGTCTTCTTTGACGTCGCCATCTTCGTCATCGGCGGCATCTGCAGCGTGTCCGGCTTCGTGCATTCCCTCGAGGGCCTCATTGAGGCCTACCGAACCAACGCGGAGGACTAGGGCGCCAGGGTGCTGCCCACCCCCGGTCCCGGCTCGCCGCTCGTGCTCACAGACCCCCGCCCCCTGCCCCGCCTCCCGCCCACCTCACCCGCACCGGCCCCGTGCGCCCTACAGCCGCCGCGCTTGGGAAGCCAAACTTTCGACACCTCTGGGTCCTTGTTTCTGATTATTCGGGGGTGGGAGGGGAGGGGAGGGGATCGGGAGCCACAGGACCCATCGCGTCTGCGTTTCTGTTGTCCTTTCTTTTCCACAACACCCCTCTTCTGCAGGGAGGCGAGGGATGGGGGAGGGGGGACATTTGTGGGCAGCATTTTCTGTGCTTCCTAAAAGTCCCCCTTGCCACTTCAGCCCCAGGCACGGTGGTAATACGGGGTGGTGGGAAGGGAGAAGGGATGCAGCTCGCAGGCGTGGCGCTTACACTTGACCTTAGGGGTGGGGTGAGGGACATTTCACAGCCATCCAGCGCTGGGAAATTACAGCGTCCAGCCATTTCCAGAAAGAGCGCTTCCCATCCCGGAGACATTTCAACCCTGCGGTGGGATAGGCTGGAGGGGGAAATCCATTTTGGGTGGGCGATTTCCTTGGCGAAGCTGGGAAACCAGACGCCGCGGCTGGGGCCGGCTTGCCTGCCGGTGTTCAAGAACCCAAACTCATCTTGTGCAATTTAACAGGTTGTGGAACTGTTCTACTGTGCGTGTGGTGTGCTCGTGGTGAATCAGATGAAATGTATATCAGAAAAAAAAATTTATCTCTAATTTAGAGTGCGGTGCATAAATTATATCCGCAAATAAAGACTACACAAAGGCGCATGCGGCTCCCTGTGGTTCTGCGTTCCCGCCAGCTGGGAGTGGGGTGTGCTGAACACAGGAGGGGTTGGGGGCGGAGTCTGCGGGTGAAAGTGTTTAGGAGCGTGTTGGGTGTTGGTAGGGAGCCGAAGGAGCCTGCAGCGATAACCTGCTCAGCTGCCAGGGCAGGTTTGTTGGGGATGTCTCCCCTCAGAAGATTTGGTGCAAACCTCTCAACCTGCAATCCCTAAACGCAGAAACAAAAGAACTCAGACTGTCTGTGTGCTGGTGCTTCTCCTTGCCAGCAGTGACAGGTGTATGTGATGACAGAGGCAGGTGAAGAGGGGTGCTCTTGTAACTGCCCTGTGGGAGTGCAGTGTAAACCTGTGGGCAGCTCCTGGATGCACCGGCCGCGGATGTGGCCTCACATCACCCTGGCTCTGCAGCTGCAGCAAGGGGGCTGGAGGGGAATCAGGACAGTGTGTGGCACCCTCAGCAGCCACAGCTGTGATCCGGCCATTTGAAATGCCTGCCCACTGCTTGATTCTCCCTGGTCACTCCTGCTCCAGAGTTCAGAACCCACGGTTAAAGGTCCTTCAGTTTCACATCCCCCTAGGACCACTGGCGTTTCCCAGACCTGAGGACGGAGCTGATTATTCACTCAGATCCGCTGCTACGGGGGATGCTCTGGGCCAGATCTCCATCTGTAACCTTCAGGAACAGCCAGGATTTCCACTGTGGAAGAAGGATGGGAGCACCACCCTGCACCAGCTCCAACTTTCTCATCTTCAGAAGGACAAATGAGACCCCAGCAAGGCTCCTGACAGCTGCAACCACTTCCATAGGATCTCCTGGCTCTGTTCCACCCTGCCTTTGCACTTCGCAGAGCCAGGTTTGGGGCAGGGTGGAAGTGGCTGCAAACTCTAGCTGCATGGATCAGCCAGCCCCAATGGGAACCCTACACTCTGGTCAGTAAGACACTAATCCCCAGGAGTGGCCGGGACCCATCTCTATATGCCTAGCCTCACCCACCATTAAAGTGCCTGAGTAGAAGTTGAAAGGACAAAGTCCTAAGCTCTTCTGTGCACAGAGGGTTTGCTCTAGAAGCCCAGGGGAGCAGAAAGGACGGCCCTGCAGCATGCCTGTCAGCTTTTAAAGGAGTCCTGTACACACACACACTAAGGACCCTAGTACACCGTTCCTACCTGCAGCAGAGCTGTGTCCTTAGCATCCCTGGCTCTGAGCCTTGGGACCCCAGGGGAGAATCACCAAGATCCTTTGCAGGAGGAACCTAGTCTTCACTGCTGCATCTCCAGATGGCACTGCTTCGCCCCCTAGAGGCGAGAGAGCAAACTGCTGGCTCTCAAAGAAAGTTCACTGGGATTAATTGGCACAACATCCTGGAGCCCTACATACTTCTTGCCTCACCTAACCCCAGTCCAGTTGATAAACACTTTTTTACAGGGCTTTATTTTAGTTCTTAGACAGCAAGTAGGGGTAACTGCCCTAGGGAAGTTTGAATTGACCAGTAATATCAGTTCAACCTCAGGTAGACATGAAAAAATAAAAGTGACAGGATAGGATGTGGCAGATATGGAAAACAACCAGTGTATGGAAAAGGCAACAACTTCTGAGATACTACAGAACAGAAAAGCTTACAGCACTATTCTCACTGTTACCTAAAAATGTTATTTCGATTAGCTGCTCTAATCTATAATCTGAATCAAATAATCTTTATTATTTAAACCAATAGCCTTTTTTGGAAAAAAAATCACTTAGTTTTATTGGAAGGCAGATTTATACAGGAAGGAGAGACAGAGAAAGAGGTCTCCCATCCACTGGTTCACTCTCTAAATGCCCGCAACGGCCAGAGCAGAGCTGAGCTGAAGCCACAAGACAGGAGGTTCTCCCACACGAATACAGAGTCCAAGGCTTTGGGCCATCCTCTGCTGCTTTCCCAGGCCACAAGGAGGGAGCTGGATGGGAAGTGGAGCAGCTGGGACATGAACCGCTGCCCATACGAGATGGTGCTTGCAGGTGGAGGATTAGTCAGTTGGGCCATCACGCTCTCTCCAAAATCAAATAACCTTTTAAAGAGAAGCATATATTTATATGACAGAAACAGCAGGGTGGGGGAGAAGTCTAGGATCTGCTGCTTCACTCTCCACAAGGCCTCCAGAACGGGCTGGGTCAGGTTGAAGCTAAGAGCCAGAGTTCCACCCTTGTATTTCACATGGATGGACAGCAGGGGTCTAAGAACTTGGCTCATTATCTTCTGCCTTCCCAGAAGCACAAGCAGAAAGCTGGATTGGAAGCGGAACAGCTGGGACTCCAATATAGGATGCTAGTGCCGCAAGCAGTGGCTTAACCCACTGTGCTCTAACACCACATGCTTGAAAAAAAAAAAGATTTATTTATTTTTATTGCAAAGTCAGATATATAGAGAGGAGGAGAGACAGAGAGGAAGATCTTGTGTCCAATGATTCTCTCCCCAGGTGACCGCAACAGCTGGAGCTTCGCTGATCTGAAGCCAGGAGCCAGGAGCTCTTCCGGGTTTCCCACGCAGGTGCAGGGTCCCAAGGCTTTGGGTCGTCCTCAACTGCTTTTCCAAGTCACAAGCAGAGAGATGGATGGTAAGTGGGGCTGCCGGGATTAGAACTGGCGCCCATATGGGGGATCTTGGCACATTCAAGGCGAGGACTTTAGCCGCTAGGACACCACACCAGACCCACCACATTGTTTTAATGTGGAGCTACTTTTAAAAAAGAAAAGAAAGAAATGCTTAGATATAAATGACCAAGACAACTTCACTGAGGCTGGCCTCTTGTTGTTATCTGAAAGAGCAGCTTCAAAACCTACAGAAGGAAGGAGAGGTTTCTGGCCCCGGGATGTGAAGGCTCAGCACCATGCCTCGGCATAAGGCAAGACTTCCTAAGAACCTGTCACTTGGGCCTGGCGCAGTAGCCTCGTGGCTTAAGTCCTCACCTTACATCCGCCAGGATCCCACATAGGCATCAGTTCATGTCTCAACTGTTCCACTTCCCTTCCAGCTCCCTGCCTGTGGCCCGGGAAAGCAGTTGAGGACAGCCCAAAGCTTTGGGACCCTGCACTCCCCTGGGAAACCAAGGAGAAGCTCCTGGCTCCTGGTTTCATATCAGCTCTGTCCTGGTCATTGCAGGCATTGGGGAATGAACCAGCAGGTGGAAGATCTTTCTGTCTCTCCTTCTCTCTGTAAATCTCTCTTTCCAATAACAACAACAACAAAATCTTTACAAAATAGCCTGTCACTCACTAGAAGGATGAGTAAAACACACAGCAATCATCGGTGATCGAGATGGTATCAACCTCCCACCTGTGTATGAAAAAAAAAAGCTCTAAATAGAATTTGCAATTAGGAGCACTGTGTCTCACCATGGGCTCAGACTTAAATTTTAAGTGTTGAGAAAAGATAGGTCAAGCCAAGAAATGGCGATAAGAGTTCCTTCTGGAATCTGAAAGAAGCACGTCTGCTAAATCTTTGGCGGTGAATGCCCTCAACCCGCCCCACAGCAGCCTCTCACAGAACAGGGGCCAGTGACATCAACAATAATACAAAACGGCTAGACCCTTCCGCAGGCGTGGTGAAGAGGGTCAGCCGCTTGGCAAGAAGCTTGCTGTCCACTCTGCCACTGCCCAGGAGGGCCTAGGTGACAGCTCTCAGAATGAGAGGGTCCTTTCACTATTAATTCGAGTTTACTTTCTCCAACCCAAGTGTCCCAGAGCCAGAAGGCTCAATTCAAGGTTCGATCAGCTGCTCTAATCTCACCCTCAGAATCATCTGGTTAACTGCCCAGGCGAGAGGGTGCCCACAGCTGCCAGGGCTGCATGCAGACGGGGGTCATGGCAGCATCCCTGGCCACAGCTGAGCCATGTGAGCACTTCCAGCCAGAGGACCATGCCCAGGTGAGCCGGCTGCTTCACTTCTGATCCAGCTCCCTGCCAAAGCACCTGGGGATGCAGTGGAGGATGGTCCAAGGGCCTTGGTCTCGACCCAAATGTGGGAGAGCCATACGCTGAGCTGCAGGCTCCTGGACTCACCCTGGCCCGGGCCTGGCTGTTAGGGGGGCACTGGGGAGTGAGCCTCACCCGGTGGAAGCTATCTGCGGCACGCTCTCTTTCTCTGTGTGGTTGAACTTTACAAAGCACACACACAAAACTTGGAGTGGCTGTGTTGATATTTAAGTGGACTTCAAAGCAAAGAAAATGGTGAGGAATAAAAAGGGACATTACACAATGATATAAAGAGGGGTTATTTGCTAAGGAGATCTAAGCATCCTATGTGTGTACCTAGCGAATGGCATTTAGCTGTCGGCTGCCTTTGCAAATACACGCCTTGAAGCGTGCACACATCGCTAAGTGGTGGGCCAGATGAATTTTCACAAAGTAAATCCCCTCCCTACTGACAAGCTTACGGATGCAGAAATCGAGCTTGGTTTCCTGAGGAAAGCGTCAAAAGGGTCCGTTTAGCTGGTGCGTTCGACCTCGGGTGCAGAAGCCACAGCAGGTGAGACCAAAGAATCCTGAAATCCTATCTACCCCGCCTCCAGACTCGCGGTCCCGACTAGAGCCTAGGAGCGTCTACGGGCGGCCCAGGTTAAGACTGCGGGAACTCAGGAGTGACAGAGGAGGGATCTTCTCGAACGCCGCCGGGCGCACCTAGTGTGAGGTAGGAGGGGCGTTTGCCCGGTTTTTGAGGGAGCCGACGGCGTCCTGACGTCACTCAGGGGGCGGGGCTTCGCGGCGTCAACGCTGACGCGACGGCGAAGGGCGGAGCCGAGCGCGCCAACATGGCGACGAACGTGTATCTTTTCCGCGATGCCCGAGCGGCCCCGGATCCGGTGCTGGAGGCCGGTCCGGTGGCTGATGGGTTGCATCCGGTGCCCCTGGTACTGGACAACGGGTCGTTCCAGGCCCGCGCCGGTTGGGCGTGTCCCGGGCCGGACCCGGGCCCCGAGCCGCGTCTGCAGTTCCGCGCAGTGTGC